CCGGATACTTTTTAGACAGGCCTCGTATTTACCTATTTTCCGCTGAAGATAATATAGTGGGAAATACATTTGGCAAAAGGAGCAGTCTTGGATTTTTACATTTTCCCAATTTCTGCATCCTTCCTACATGGAAGCACTGTTCAGCAAAGTGAGCTGAACATATCTTTGCTAAAAATGATTCAAGACATTAATAGGTAATTGACGTAAAAATGGAGATAGTGAGTATGCATTGATTCAAATTAAGTGAGCACAATTACACTTTCTTATTCTTTTCATTTCAAATACTTTAAATACGTTAGACGTTTATTCAGACAATTATTCAGTTATATAATAATAATATATTTTAATTTTAAAATACATTATTACTATATTTATAATATTTATAAGACCACTTACCATTTTTTATATTTGAAGGTAACCTAACCTCCTCGATTTTCTGAAATCAGCCCTCACGAATTACTTCGTTCTTCGGTAAATTGAAGAAGGACACTTCTGTTTTGTTACAATGATCTGTTCTATTTGGACAAGATTTGACAATACACCACACCATATTGGAATTTCACTGTTAAATAACAAATTATTATAATAGACAGATCGCCAGAATTGCCTAAATCGCAAATCAGTTATAGCAACCTGGCAATATCAAACATTTACTTTTTTGCAGTTGGCAAGCCTAGGAAATGAACGGTACCGTGACGCGGAAAAGGGGGCGTGGTTTCCAAGTTCTAAGCACACCATGTATACTCCCACCACGGTAGCGCAGTTGACACGAGCGAGTGTGGTACGCTAACACGAGAATAAAGCCTTTTTCTCATACGAACAAAGAAGATAGCGAGTTCCTCTAATCGAGATCCCGTCTACCTTTCCCGTCCATAACATTACGGAACTACTGTCGTTATCCCAGTCAGAAAGGTGACGTCGATTCGACGTCAATTTGACGTCTGAGCGGTTGATAACCCGTTGAGTCGAATTAAACATCGATTTTCATGCAATATCGACCTGTACCAGTCAGAACGGTGCATGTCGAATCAAATATGTCAATTTGGCGTCTGACCACTTATTATTCAAAAATATCGCATACGATATCACGAGACACGGTAGTGTCTCGCGCCAAGTGTAAGCGCAGCTAGTACACGCGCGCGAGACCGACCGTGTAAGTTTACGCGAGTACACGAGTTGACGGGCCCTCAGAATTTCGGATCTCAACAACGGCTATTCCGACAAAGTTGAGACTGCGCTTAATCGATAGCTTGGGTACGATTTGCATAATAAAAGTATTTTTACTTTTCTCCTATGTGCCCCATGAGTAGAGATATTGCAATGCAAAGTCCAGGAATCTGAATTTTCCTGAATTTTTACGTAATTTTATTAAGAAACGTCGTCATCGTGGTCGTGGTCGTGGTCGTCGTCGTCGTCATCAACCAGGCCAAAATCCATCTCACTTTTCTGCCGCAACGTGGCATTGGCGCTGCTGTCGCGTATCTCACGTAGCGTCTTGCGCCAAGTTTGAATAAGTCTAATTGTAAGTGTATTAATACCTTGAACT